ACCTTGAAGAAACCTTCCAAATAGAACAAAGACAATGCAAATCTATAGCAATTCTGTTTTTAAAGCTAAACAGGGCACTGATGATAAACTACCTATGGAAAAAACACCCCAAACCTTATTTTTAAAATATGGACAAATTTAATTTTTTTATTTAGAACCATTGGCTACATGAACCACAAATGACATATTTTATTGAGAGAAGAAGCATGGCTAACATCCACCTCTGCAAGGTATAATCTTATATTTAGATGTAACTGCTGTCTCACTGCATTTGACAGGTCAAAATGCTACAAAAACTACATTCTGCACAGTGAAAAGTAAATTCTTACACTTGATAATCCCATGCACACTAAAAGTCACTGTTCTCTTGCATAGGCTGAAATAGAAAAAACTGCATTAAGTTAGCATTTCAGTAATTGTACTGAGTTATCTGAGTTCTATTATAAAACTGCACCAATTTGTGAGAATAATAAAAGGCAGTCTGATTAAACATAATTTAAGAGTCACCTGCTAAGGACCTGTATCAGCTGGCTAAAACAGTATTAATGTTGATGCATTTGGCTAGCTAAGAAATTCTTTAAAGGTGGCAGTATCCCTTGATAATGACAAAAAAGCAGAGGCAAAAAAGGAAGTCACTAGGTTTGTGTGACCTTCAAGTACTATAAAAATATCCAGAAAAGTGGAAAATATCCAGAAAGTGAATTAAGTGAGGAAATACTTTTACCAGGTATTTTTTGGAGCATATTCAATATTTCAAATATTTATAATAAAAATAAGAAATGTTTTTAGTAAAAAAAAAAAAGTCCCCCGTCCCTTAATGCCCCTTAACTGGAGGAAGGGCATATAGCAATTCTAGATATTTCTTAGGCTACATCCTACGAATGAAGACATCCCCTCTCTTGAAAACTTTTGTTACTGTTTTAGTTAGACCTGTTGTTAATCCAATGTCCTTATGTGCCATATCCTACATATCCCAGATTACAAATTAAGGTTTTAAACTAGAGTGAAGATGCATTTTTATTGGTGGTGTTGCTGGAGAAGCTGAAGAAAATGCAGATTATTCAAATTGTGTAAAATCAAAAGTAGAAACAGCAAAGCATGCAACCTCCTAATACATAATTGCATTATCTGTATGGAGTCATAGTATTTTCCTTCTCCCATTAATGTGGAACATTATCAAAAGGTCTTTGAAATAAGCATAGGTACAGCAGAGGTGGTATTCCAGTTAGGGTATATAACTACATGACACCAGACATTGCTGGGGTGAATGTCAGAGGTGTCTGGTGGGTAAAAGCCCTGACAGATGGTATGGAAAAGGTAATTTACACCATGAAAGGTGGTTCATAGTTAGTTCCCATGCCCATCATCTCAGCAGCTATACTGCAGTCATTTGGTAGGGTCTCAGAAGCATTTTTACTTCTATACAGATACCTTTGAATGATCCTATATTAATTACCCTGTTCCTGCTGGCATCACCTCTGTTTTTATTAATTTTTATTAATGTGATTCTGCTTTCACTGAATGGCACCTTACAGTGTAATATTGAGCTCTGCAATGCTTGTTTGTTGTTGTTTCTTTTTTTTAATTGGACAAGGCTTTTTCCTTAACTGCTTTCTAAAAACCCCTAAGTGCTGTGAAGAATATGTTCTAAGAATAGAATTTCATAGGCTTTTTTTTTTTTTCTATTTTGTCTCCTTTTATTTACTGTCTTTCTATATTTTTGATCTTATTATGAACGCAGAATTCTCAGTTATTTTAATAGGAGTTTGGCATTAGTAGGAGCGATAAGGTAACAGCCAGAGTAGCTTTCTAGTATCTTTTATTGTAGTCTGTAGGTGTTGAATCTCTGTTGCATGTTGCTATGTGAACTTTTCAAATGACCAGCCAATACATGTAATTTCAAATACTTCATAGTGGCTTTTAGCCTCTCAAAGATCTAATTTTTCTTGTGTCTGTTGTGTTTCCTGTCCTGTTGTTAATACAGTTTTGCTCAATATTGCTCAGCACTATTTATCTTGTTCTTGCAATTAGAGAGGTTAGGAAAAAAAAATCTGTTTTTTTTTTAATATCTCCATTAATCATAATTATCAAGTGAGATCTGCAGTAACTGTTTCTCTCTTACTTTATATTAAGGTGTGCATGCACATGCGTGTAGACACACTCCTGTAACATCAACCTTTTTGGCACAGCAGAAACAGGCCCAATGACAATCAGTAAGAGCAGTTCCACCCAGTATACAATAAAAAGGTAGGAAAAAACCCAAAGCTTGATTCCAAACAGATAATATTTCTATCATAAGCATTCACTGCCACCATGTTAGCATGATTTAGCAGTTCTGAGCTGCCACACTAATTAGTGGGTGGCACAAAAGAATGTAACAATTCAGTTTGCATGAAGAATATATTTTTTTTCTGAAAAGAAATTCACTCATTCTTGAAAATGAACTTCAAAATTATTTAACAATGGAAGATAGAAAAAAGAGATAATTTCTGTTCTTTCTTAATTTTAATTGTTTTATTAATCATTCTGTAGAGAGAAAAGTTTGCCTTATTTAGCTCTTTAAATGCAAGCTCTCCAAAATTCTTAGTTTATACCTTGAAATTGTGATATCCCAGACAGCACAATGAAATTGAAGTGAAACCCTGTTTAATCAGTTTTCTAACAAGCTGTGTGATGAGTATGACCTCTTGTGTTAGACATGGGAATATTCATTTTTTTATTCACACAATGAAACAACCAAGCAAGTAGACAAAATATCTAAAAGCTTGTAACAGCACTGTCTTTGTATTTCAACAAATAAACAAGATAGCAGGAGTAGAGGTATAACATTTGAGACTTGCAACATCTATATATGAATTAGAAAAATAAATGCAATAATTTCCCAACACAGAACAAAGATATCAGATATTTTAGTATAACAGGACTTTAAAAATATGTATTTTTTCTTCTTCACAATTCTAATACAAGCTTCCATGATCAGAGTAGATGAAGTTACAGGACAGAATCTTGGTGACTTCTAAATAAAACATGGAGATTTACAAATTTCTTAAAAGGCTTTTCAAGGTTAACTAGGTCATGAGAATTTATCTCCTGGTAAAATGAAAGCTTAGAAGAAAGTACCTTTAAGCAAAATTAAGGACATGGCATGAACTGAAAAGAAAAGATGAAACCTTGCCTATCTAATCTTTAACTAGTTAACAAAACATGTATTTTTAAAGCATGCTGCAGCAAGACTTTTATTGATAGAATAGCAGAAGCCCAGGTTCCCTGGGGTTTTAATTTTCAAAGATTCCTGAAATTCATGTGTGTTTCAAAACACAGGCAAAATGGGACCAGTAAAACAGAATTACAGCACCGTGTTTTTTCAAAGAAAATGGAATATATGAAGCTGTGCTAAACAGCCTGTTCATTCTTAAAAACAAAAGCACTTTTTATCTTGGCCACTGGTACTCAGGGAAATTAGTGCAATATTGAACATCCTGATACACTTTCGTGTAACTTAAAAACTAAAGTATTTTATCATTTATACAATGAAGTATGTATGGATGTTTATTCAAAAAACAAAAAAAACCCCAAAACTTGGTTTTAAGACAAATTTTTATTCATCACAAGACATTATAATTTTGTGTTTCATATATATTCCCACTTATGAGTGCTTTTTCAAAATACCAAGCTATGTAAACATAACTAAATTTTGGTCTAAATAATTTATCTATGTTGTAAACCATGTTATTTACTATTTTAGTGAGTGTTGTTTCATTGTGTGGGTGATACAAGTGCTTGCTTTAAAATTAACAATTTTAAATTAACAATTAACAATTGTTACATTAACAATTAACAATTAAAAATTTTACAACAGAGCATATTTAAAAACTTTGTTAATGAAACTGCCTCACTCATCTTTCTAACCTACACCTTAACTAAAGGTTTCAAAGGAAATTGAACATCACAGGAGACACAGAAATTACAAGGATGCAGGCTTTTATCCTAGAAAGACTTGGTGGATTTTGTCTTTAACATTGCTGAGAAATCAAAGATGTAAGGAAATCTTCCACGCTATCAAATATTGTCTGGAGAAAAAAAAAAAAAAAAGGGAAAGAAAAAATATAAGAAGAAACCCCCTCTTTATAGTCTTCCCTAGTTGACAGGAAAGACACATCTGTAACAAGGTAAATTACTTCCCGTTTTCATAATTCTTTCCTTAAACAAATGCAGAAAGGAGAATTTACCTGGTGCAGGCATTGCTCTGCCTAATGGAGCTACCAGAGCGGATTACTCAGTGGGGGCTTGGGAGGCAAAGAAAGGGGAAAAGGCAAAATGGCAGCAGACAACCAGCTTCAGGACTGTGCCGGCAGCACACGGTAGGGGAGCCAGAGTCGTAGGGGAGCTACTCAGTGACACCGGTCCCGTTTCACCGTAAAGCTCCTGCCGACCCGGCGGAGCAGGTCTCCAGCCCCCGAACCAACCCCTGCTGCCGCCGGCCTCACGCCCCGGCTGCGCCTCTCCCTCCTCCGGCTGAGGGAAGAAGGAGCAGCCGGCAGACGCCGTCCGTCCCCCCACCCGTCCTTCGTGACAGGCCCGGGATGTGCCGGGGAGGGCTCCCCGCCCCGCGGCCGCGGCCCCTTCCAGCTCCCCGCGGCCCGGGGCGGCGGGCGGCGAGCGAACCCGACGCTGTGTTTTGCAGGGCGGCGGCGGCGGCGGCGCTGCTGGACAGCTCCGGAGCGCGACGAGGCGCCCATGTTCCGGAGACGGCGCAGATGTGAGTGGGGAGCCGGGGAGAGCCGCCGGGCAGAGCCGCGGCGGAGCCCCTTCGCCGACAGGCGAGGGCGATCCCGGGAGCGAGCGCGCTCCCCGCCCCCGGGAAGCCCCGGGTTTCCGCGGCGCGGGCGGGGGGCGAGGGCAGCCCTCACCTGCGGGGGGCGGGAGGCGGGATCCCCGCGGGCGGGGGGCCCGCGCCTCCCGCTGACGGCCCGGCCGCTCCGCCCCCGCCAGGTGACGTGATGCCCGTTGTTTTGGTGCGCCCGACCAATCGGACGCGGCGGCTGGATTCTACGGGAGCCGGGATGGGCCCGTCGTGGCGGCAGCAGGACGCTCCCCTGCCGACCGTCACGCATTGCGCAGGGTGCACCACCGCCCGGTCCTCCTGCGGCTTTAACGGCCCCGGCATGGACCCGCCGCGCCACTTCCCGGCGGGCTTCGGCCCCGAGCAGCAGCAGCAGCAGCAGCAGCAGCAGCAGCAACAACAACAACAACAGCAGCAGCAGCAGCAGCAGCAGCAGCAGCAGCAGCGCCCGCCGGCGCCGCCGCACTGCCAGCAGCACGGCCAGGACAAGCAGAGCCTTCTCCAGCAGCAGCAGCAGCAGCAGAGCCCGTGCCTCCAGTGCAACAACTGCGCCTACTACGGGGCTGCTGCGGCAGCCGCGGGGGATAACCTGCCCCTGCTGCTCCGCGCCTCCTCGCCGCTTTCGGGCGCCTTTCGGACGCACTCCTCGCCGCTGTCTTCCGCCGCCTCCTCCCGGCACGGCAGCCAGCTGAACGTCAGCGAGTTCACCCCGTCCAGCCATGCTGGCGCGTCCAGACAGCCTCACCAGTATTCCCAGTACCACCAGTGCCATAGCCTGCAGCAGCAGCAGGCAGCCAGTCCCAGCAGCAGTGTCAGCAGCAGCAGCACTCACCATCACCATCATCATCACCATCACCATCACCACCACCAGCAGCAGCAGCGCCGGGAGAGCAACCCCTTCACCGAAATAGCCATGAGCAGCTGCAGGTACAACGGCGGCGTCATGCGGCCGCTCAGCAACCTGAGCTCGTCCCGCAGGAACCTGCACGACCTGGACTCCGAGTCGCAGCCGCTCCAGGCGCCGCTCGCCAGCCCCACTGCCGCCGCCGGCGCCGGCTCTGCCCCCGCCGCCGCCAGCCCCGCCGCCCCGGAGATCGTGGTCTCCAAGCCCGAGCACAACAACTCCAACAACCTGGCGCTGTACAGCTCCGCCGGCCCCGGCCCCGGCACGGGCAGCACCAACAACGGCGGGGGCAAGTCCAGCAAGAAGAAGAACCAGAACATCGGCTACAAGCTGGGACACCGCCGGGCTCTCTTCGAGAAGCGTAAGCGCCTCAGCGACTACGCGCTCATCTTCGGCATGTTCGGCATCGTCGTCATGGTCATCGAGACCGAACTCTCCTGGGGCGCCTACACCAAGGTACCAGCTCGGGCGGCAGCCGGTCCCGGCGCCCTCGGCCCCCGCCCCGTCCCCGTCCCGCGGTGTCCCCACGGTCCGGTGGCGCGGTGCCGCCGGCCGCCTCCTCGGGCCGGGGTGGCGGTGGGGCGGAGCGGCCCCCGCGCACGGGTCTCTGAGGAACGGCGGTGTCTTTCTCTTGCAGGAGTCTCTGTATTCCCTCGCTCTGAAATGCCTTATTAGCCTCTCCACGATTATCCTGCTCGGGCTTATCATCGTGTACCACGCAAGAGAAATCCAGGTAACGTTTCCTTCTGTGGGTCGGGGAGCATTCCTGGCTTAGGTGCGGGGGTCCGAGGCGGTTTTTGCAGGGGAGCCTTGGTGGTAAGTACTGGACACGTCCTGCCGCTTCAGAAAGCAAACGTGGTCTCTGCAAGCCTGCCGAAGTTGGTGAATGGACCTCAGCCGTGGAGACGGGCACCAAACGACGGGCAGAGAGGAGCCAGGAAGTTCTGCCTGCTAGGGGCTGTTGCCTACGGTTTTGCTATAGGATCGCTTAGCCCTCGGGTTATAACATGCTTTCTAGGTGATGCGTCTGTCATCTCCTGTAGCAGATGTACAGCAATAGACTTTTATTTCCCATTGCCTAAATTTCATGTTGTGCGTTTTCTCTTGACGGCAAGGTTAATTGTCTTCATTGTGCAAGGTATGTAATCTTCAGTGAGCTGTCTGAGATACGAGTATACTTGAGGAGAGTGTTTAAAAGGAGGGGGGAGATTGATGTTTGATTTGTTTTATTTAATGCTGCAGTGTCTAGGAATGTGACCAGAGAAAAGTGTCAGGAAGGATAAGGCTAAAGGTAAGAGGAACATAATGGTCAAACCTATAGAATAAATCTCACAGATACTTTCACAAGTTCTGTCCAGGTGACTTAGTCCTAATTTCAGTTGTAATTTTTTTTGACCGAGAAATTAAATGTGGCATTTCAGCTTAACTGAACTGTACAATGGACAGAATTCAAAGTTTTGAAGGGAAAAATACCTTGCTCATAGATACAGTGCTTTTGTTTTTTCAGATTAGAGACTCGTTGAGTGAAGACTGAAATGTCAGGTTTCAAGGGCAATGAAGACTTTTCCACTGGTACCAATCAGTTAAATAAAAAAAAATTGTATAGTACAATTCTTCAGCGCAAAAGAATGCTGTAGTTTCAACATGAAATTGTACGTAGTCTCCTACTTAGGGTAGAAGAAACTATTGAAAGTATTGAAAAGTATTATATCTCTGAAGACTTTTTGCCAAATTGAGTCCTGTTGTACAGTCTTTGCACATGCAAAACTTCTTTTCCTGGCTCAGAACCCAGTTTTTCTGAATTAATGTCAGAGATATTGTTTAATGCTATTGTATTGAGTAAATACAAGGTGTTCCGGAGAGAGAGCAAATTTATAAACTACAGGAGTACTGATGAACAGGTTTCTTTATCAGTATAAAAATAAGTATCAGTACTGCAGTGTGGGAGCCTTCTCTGGTGTATCTTCCCACAAATGTTTCTTCAAGCATGAATAGCAAAGCTGAGAACAGGTCATGTCTAAATGTTTAAAATATTGTATGCATTTTTCAGAACCTTTTAATGGAAAATTTTGTGGAAGATAATGAAATAGCTGTAGGTCCATACAGGTCCTCCAGCTTATACTGAGTTACTCTAAGATTCAATTGTTTGTTGAGTTTTTTCAGGTAAAGATTTAGAAATTTATATTGTCTTAGGAATCAGATCCCTTATGGATCAGGAAAAAAAAAAATAATTAAAAAATTGTCATTCCATTTGGTTGTTTTTTTAATTGATTGTTTTAAAGATTTTCCTCATATACGCAACTACATGGAAGGAGTTGTGCAATCGTATGACTTAATCACAGTTAATGTAGTTTTCAGTGCTTCCTGACAGAGCAAAAGTATAGCTGCCTGTAAAACAGCAATACCCCATGTTTTTGAATGAGAAACACCAGAAACTGCAGTAGTCATGACAGTGCCTGGAGGAGCTGCAGCTTCAAGGGGTTCTGTCATTCACATCAAAAATGAAAAGTTCTCTGCTTCAAGGAGTTTGTTAGAAGGAAAGGATGTAGTACCCTCCATAGCTATCAGATAACATCTGCTCACTTTTGAATTTAAGCATAGTATGTTTTTATGTACACACTTGACTTATAAAAAATAAGATAATGAAAGTGCAGGGCAAATGCTATGTCAATTCTATGGTAATAAAATTTTTGTTGCACTAGACACCTGGGGAAAAAAAGTATCTTTAAAATCCCTTGGCTAAGTACATAATGTGCATAATGTTCTCCAGGCAAAAGAAGATACTGTGTAACCCTGATAATGTAATGTTTTTTAAATAACCGTTAAAACAGACTGTTTTCTGAAGGCAGACGTGGCATTAATTCAAACAAACGTTCTGCTCTGTGTAGAAGAATGAATAAGGTCTGTAGAACAGAGCCCACAGATGTCTGGTTGTGTCCTGGACGACTTTTTGCACCAGCTATTTGTCAGTCCTTTTCCTGTTGGAACATTCTTTTCTGATTATTATCTGAAACATACTTAAATATTTGTTATAGTTTAAATAAGCAGCAATTCACTGAGAGAGGGAAATTTGTTCCGTAGAGCCGAAGAAGGTGTCTGTATTCAGATTGCATCTGTGGTGCTTTTCACACTCTGGTGGGAGCAAACCAACCTAAGCATAAGTAGATTTTTCAACAAAGCATGAGGCAAAAAAATGTTGGGAAATAAGGAGCTGACAGTTTAGTAATTATTACTGATGGCAGGATGAATACTGACAGAAACTCCCCATGACCTAAAATGCTGGCGAGTAGAAATCAGCTTTTTCCTTCTTTTCAGTAGTCTTTGACCTTGATTTATTGGTAGGAAGATTAAACAGCCATGCTGCAAGGATGTCCATGGAACAGTGCCTAGCATGCTGTATAGCAGGTGGCTTTAGTCTTCTATTGAAGTGACATTGCTTGTATGTTTTATTTTGAAAACAGTCAGCCAGTCAAACCAGTCTCTAGAGTTTGCCTGTCCCAGACTTGCTGCTTTTTTTTTAGGGAGTTGGAAGGGAAGTTTATAAAGGTTTGCCAAGATTCTTTCCAAGCCGAGAAGTGATGCAGCAGCGTCAGACAAATGAGTTTTCTTTTGGTCTTTTCCCGCGGTCGGACCGCGGTGGTTGTGCGGCGGGGAGCTGCGGTGCCTGGGGCAGGGTGGTTCAGCACCGCGGACAGCTCCGCGCGGAGCGCCCGGCTCGGGCGGCGCATCCCGCCGGGCCATCGAAACCTGGTACCTGCGCAGCTTTCTCCGGGGCTCCCCGAGAGCTTACGCATAGCTCTGCACCTGGCAGACCAAAGTCTCCAGAAGAGGGGTAACTGCAGTGTTTAGACACGGCTAGCTGTAGGGATGCTGGGTAGTCTTTGTGAAATACTGGAACTGTTCAAATATGTTCCACAAATTCGTTTTCAGTAATGGCACTGTATTATTTATTCTGTATAACTCTAGGAGTAAAAATGTGAGCTGTTATGAATTTTAATAAATGTGAGTTACTGTTAAGAATACAATGAAATTCAGTTGAAAATGGTCGGGTTCAAATGTTAATTTGTAGCTTACTTTATCATTTCCAGAAAAGAGGATAAAAATTGCAAGCAAGTTTTATTCAGTCCTTCCCTCTTCTCGAAAAAATCCTAATGAACAACAGTAACAGAGTTGGAGTTGAGGCGAGTGATAAGCCTAAAATGTGTGTTCACTTTTTATTCCATGTTTGTCATGCCTGTAATGCTACTAAAAACATTACACTTGGGAGATAATGAAATACACATTGCTCTCTCTCCAGGCCTGTGTGGTTGTTGATTCAGTTCTTCAGAACAAGTGCTTTGTGTTTGAAAGATCAATGGGAAAAATGTAATTCATCATTATCCCAGCCAAGAACAGGTATTCCTCTGACTGTTACTCCAGTTGAGAGTTTAAAGAGTTGAAGGAGGGAAGAGCTAAAAAGACAGCATTACCCACTTATCATAATAATTTTTGATGTATTAATTATTCACTTAATGCATAAACAGTTTGTTACTTAATACTATTTTACATAATTAAAGCAGAGGCAATATGTAACATAATTAAAATTGTATTCTTTAGAACTTACTGTTCTATTCCACATTTCTCCAGTGTAATTCGATCCGTAAGTAAAATGGAATTTAAGAAAGTTTTAAGTGGCAATTTACATAGTAAAGCTATAGTTTTTCTACCTTTATTTAAAAATGGACCTCTCTGCCTATCTCTAGTATGTTTAGAGGTAGAAATTCTTTTTACCTGCACCCTGAACTGCTACTGATGCTTTCTTGTACTGCTAAGAGCAAAAAGATTCTGTGAGACTGCCATTCAGAGGTCTTTAATGTCCTTTGGTGGGCATTCCACCACAGTCTAGTATTTTTTGAGAGATGGTGGTCAGTGGAAAAATATATCCACTGGAAGGCTTCTTTAATGCTGTACTGCTTAGTGTATCCTTTCTGTAAATAAACATACTGCCTGTCCTGAATAATAGTAACCTGAGTATTGATAACCTGGGCAGTCTCGGACAGCATCTGAGCCTCTTTTCCTTCTCCCTGATACAGATGCTGTCATTCCTGCAGAAACATGAAAGTTGTTGGTAATTGTTAAAGCAAATAGAAATCTTGCATGTGTGTGTGTGTGTATGTGCGAGAGAGAGACAGAGAGTGTGTATCAGCTGAGGTTTTTAACTACTTTTAAAATGTATTGCTAGTTCATATTTTGATAAAACACCCGTGGAAAGGCTTGCAAACTCCAAGGTTAAGGTTAAACTGTTGCATGCATAGCAGAGCCTCACACTGCTGCAGGGAAAAAGTACCATCAGTCCCAATGGTTCTGAAGTGGTGGTAAAATAACGTGTGGCAAAATAACATGCTCCTCATAAATTTAGAATGAAACATTTTCAGTCTTTGTTACCGTTCTATAAAATTACCACAGCCAAGAGCCCAAATATCTTGCTGAAGAATCAAGAATCTTCTTTTTCCTGTGCCTGAAAACTTGAAAAAATGGAACAAGCATTATCAGGTAACAGGAAAGAGTGGTAGTAAATATATAATACCTGTTTATTGTGCAAATACATCCCATAATGCATGATGATAATAAACACAGTTTATGGGAGTTTCATTATTTTGCTGGCATTAGTGGAAAGTTTTGTGATAAAAACTGTGCGCTTGTGAGCAGTTAAGCTCCCTTACAGTTTCTTATCATAAGAAGTAATACTTATTC